AACTATTTCAATAGTAATGTGATAGTGGTCAACTATTTCAATAGTAATGTGATAGTGGTCAACTATTTCAATAGTAATGTGATAGTGGTCATAGTAGTATTGTGATAGTAGTAATGTGATAGTAATCAGATAGTATTTCATTTAGTAATGTGATCAGTGGTCAACTATTGCAATAGTAATGTGATAGTGGTCAACTATTTCAATAGTAATGTGATAGTGGTCAACTATTTCAATAGTAATGTGATCAGTGGTCAACTATTGCAATAGTAATGTGATAGTGGTCAACTATTGCAATAGTAATGTGATCATGTCAACTATTGCAGTAGTAAGTAATGTGATAGTAATGTGTCAACTATTGCAGTAGTAATGTGATCATGTAAGTGATGTGATGGTCAAGTATTGCAGTAGTAATGTGATATGTCATTGCAAGTATGATCAGTAGTCATGTCAAGTATTATTTCAATGCAGTAATGTGATCATGTCAAAATATTGCAGTAGTAATGTGATCATGTCAAGTCAAGTAGTATTGCAATAGTAATGTGATCATGTCAAGTATTGCAGTAGTAATGTGATCATGTCAAGTATTGCAGTAGTAATGTGATCATGTCAAGTATTGCAGTAGTAATGTGATCATGTCAAGTATTGCAGTAGTAATGTGATCATGTCAAGTATTGCAGTATTGCAGTAGTAATGTGATCATGTCAAGTATTGCAGTAGTAATGTGATCATGTCAAGTATTGCAGTAGTAATGTGATCATGTCAAGTATTGCAGTAGTAATGTGATCATGTCAAGTATTGCAGTAGTAATGTGATCATGTCAAGTATTGCAGTAGTAATGTGATCATGTCAAGTATTGCAGTAGTAATGTGATCATGTCAAATATTGCAGTAGTAATGTGATCATGTCAAGTATTGCAGTAGTAATGTGATCATGTCAAGTATTGCAGTATTGCAGTAGTAATGTGATCATGTCAAGTATTGCAGTAGTAATGTGATCATGTCAAATATTGCAGTAGTAATGTGATCATGTCAAATATTAGTAATGTGCATATTAATGTGCAGTGATCATGTCAAGTATTGCAGTAGTAATGTGATCATGTCAAGTATTGCAGTAGTAATGTGATCATGTGATATTGCAGTAGTAATGCGGATGCGTCAAGCATTGCAGTAATAATGATCAGCAGTAATGTGATCATGTCAAGTATTGCAGTAGTAATGTGATCATGTCAAGTATTGCAGTAGTAATGTGATCATGTCAAGTATTGCAGTAGTAATGTGATCATGTCAAGTATTGCAGTAGTAATGTGATCATGTCAAGTATTGCAGTAGTAATGTGATCATGTCAAGTATTGCAGTAGTAATGTGATCATGTCAAACCAACTTTAAGGCTTCATGATCATATTAATGAATGTAATAGAAATGAATAAAATATTGCTGACAATGTCATTGTTGGACATTTTCTTCCCTGTGGCTACTCAAACCAAGGGGAAGTAACTCCAACCTTGTATCCTTTCTGAAAAACACGCAGGCAGTTTAAAAGGTTTATTTATCACTAATTGCAACTATTGACAATGTTGATGGTTATGATATGACAATGCTATTGATCTTTCAAATTCCTATTGATATAGAACTGTTGGAGGACAAATATTTACAATACGTTGTTAAGTTTGCCTGAATACCTAATATTGCACCAGTATATTTGAGTATACTTTAACTGCAGTTAATGGGCAGCTGATGTGCTCGGCTGTTGCTGGTGTAGTGGGGCATGGTTGCAAGGTGGAAATGTATCAAGTTACAAAAGAAATCAATTTCTCAAGGGAAGTAACCCCTGTCTAGCTGTTGTATGGTGGGATATATTCCGTTGCCGCTGAAACACATGAGCAGTTTCAACTATTACATGACCGTGTCACACATAGGCTAGGGCCCTGTGGGGGGTTAGAGGAGGAATATGATAAAAACGTGTGTTGTCATGGCAATACATAATATCAGTATTGTACATTTGGACTGAGTTTGGTTTTACGCCGCTTTTAGCAATATTCCAGCAACATCACGGCAGGGGACACCAGAAATGGGCTTCACACATTGTACCCATCTGGGGATTCGAACCCCGGTCTTCGGTGTGATGAGCCAACGCTTTAACCACTACGCTACCCCACCACCCCTGTACATTTGGAATTTTCTATTTTGGTGAAATATCTTCAAAAGATTTGACATCTGTATGTTTCATAAAATGACATACAAAAAAAATATTAATTCACTTCAATAGTTTTCAACAAATGTATTATATATCTATTTTGATTGCAGGCCTCATATATGACATGCATTATCAAACAAATTGATCAGTATTAGTTCAGGTGTAATGTAACAACTGAGAGCAACTGCACTCTTAACACAGGACAGCAGCAGCAGCAGTGGCAGTGGCAGTTTTAACACACCATTGATTTTTTTAATAAGTAAAATAATTGGTTCTGCATGAGTTTTGATTGACATATCAATTGAAACCAGGATATTGAAACCAATTCTTTACCTTGAAAAATGAAAACTATTTCTAATTAAGGATACCTAAAGGATGTATACCTATAGGATACACACCGATTTTATCACTGTTTCAGTTTAGTGCAGCTGTCATGCTTTTCTGGAGTACTCAGTAGTTTGGGATGTAACAATACACTTGTGGTTTGTTTTTTCTCAATGTGAGGTGGAACATGAGTGTTCTTGCTGCATACCACAGCTGTGACCTGCACAACGTACAGTGTGACTTGTAATGACAGGGTGTCAGCAGTGTCCACACAATAGCCAGTGGATCATATTTACAGACGGAGTTACAAGGAAACCGAGATAAGGGCTCTAGTCAAGTGTGGGACCATGTGTCGTCAGATTAGTGTTACTCAAGTGTACCAGTATTTACGGGGGAAGCTATTGATACCCTAAAGCAATGCTGGCCATTCTGATTGTATAAGTGAATACTCGCTGTTCGAATTGAGTTGGAAGGAGAATGTAGCCATTTTTTGTGGTAAGATACACACTGTACATTTTGATAATTTCTTTAGAGCCTGTAATGAATCATTGATCATGTGGACTGATGGATGAAACTGCTCTGAAAGAAACAATCAAACACTTAGCAAAGTTATAGATGTGCTGTGGGTACAGTGAATAACATTGTGTGTCCCTCTTGAAGCAGTGAATGTTTTTAAGCATCCATTCTGTATATTTGTGTCTATTTGCACATCACGTAAAACCCTGACTCTGCAGACCTGTGATGATCCTCGGAACGGAAACCGATCCCCAGAAACCCATGGTGTAAGAGGTGACCACTGACAGTCAGGGCAGGGACTACATTGTTTGTATTTCATGGTATCCAATCTGCATGTCAGTCACTGGCTTGTCTGGTCCAGACTCTGTGGTTATGACTGATTATCATTACTGTCTCATTGATTCCATTTCCTGGTGTCACAACTGTATCATGTCAATACTGATTTGTTTGGTGGTCCTGACAGCTATTTATAGACTCAGATGTCATATATATGGAAGATATTCCTGAATGCGGTGTTAGCAAATTACAGTCAAATCCCCGATGAGTCGAATCTCTGGGGACCAAGTAATAGATTCGACTTATCGATGTATTCGAGACATAGGTATGTCTATGGGGGTAGAAAAAAAGATGATCCAGTCCTAATTCCTCCGCCTAAGCATTTGTTTATCTAATGATTTAATAGGGGCACCTAATCAGTTCCAGTCTGATTAGCACAGACAGTGATTTCCGTAAAATCACTAATCTGCCTTTTGAACTCACCCGTCAAAGGCGGAAAGGTGTCAGTCGCGCTGGTTTGTTAATTGGATCAGTTTGCTACACCAATCAACTTCTCATTGGCTGACTTTGGCTTATGTATATACAAGATTGCTGTTGTTTGAATCTCATGGGACCAAATTTTCTTCTCGAGTCATCGTGTGTATTTATGAGACGAATTCGTGTAACCGGTATTCAAATGATGACAACTATAACAGGGAATGGTCGGGACCGACAGGTACTTCGAGTTATGCATAATATTCGAGACACCGGCATTCGACTCATCGGGATTTGACTGTATGTATAATGGCTTGCTGGTCTGAGAAAGGCGGGTTTATCTGTATATGTGTCATAACTATGACAGAGACCTGTGAGTAATGAGATTTGGACCAGACAAACCATTGATTACTTATTGTGTTTACCATTACCGTGGCCCTGTAGGGGGTTTATACCTGGCACCAGTGTGCCAATACTGGTCATCAGAGATGAAGGTGATTGTATATCAACATAGTAATATCAGTTTTCTCTGACTCTGTTATTATCCCCCAGAACGCGTTTTGTGGGGGGTATTAAAATGGTCTCCGTCTGTCCGTGTGTGCGTCCGTGCACATTTGTCTTTTCCGGAGCATAACTCTAAAACCGTTCAATATTTCATCACCAAACTAGACACATAGAAAGATCTGATGGTCTACTGGTGCCTTTTGGTAGTTTTGGATTTCTGAATAAAATATTTTTGGCGTTTCCATGGTAACAAGTTTGACTTAGACTGAAATTAGTGGTAGTACTCTCTTCTGGAGCAGAACTTTAAAACTGTTCACTGTTTCATCACCAAATTTCATGCATAGGTAGATCTAGTGGTGAACTGGTGCCTTTTGGTAGTTTTGGATTTCTGAATAAAATAAGTTTTTGTGTGTGTTTCCATGGCAACAATTTTGACTTCAACTGAATTTGATGGTAGTGCTCCTTTCTTGAACAGAACTTAGAAACCTTTCAGTACTCTCCTTCCACTTAGCTATATACACGCCAACACATTTGACATAGTCATAACTCGTAGACATATTCATTAAGAGTATTTTGCCATTGCGGGGAATATTGATGACTTTGTCTTCTTGTTTACAGACTGTTGTCAAATAGATGGAAAACTACTGAGTGAGTCATTAAATAACATTAAAAAACCCCAGTACTTTGTCTGAAATGTGTGTTTTTTGCTTCAGGTATGATGTCTTCTACCCTGGTGGAGACAGTTTCTATCAACTATGAAGACTTCAACGACAGTTTCCTTACCTGTGGCACATGCCTGTGCATGTATGACTCTGTTGAACACAACCCCAAGCTCCTGCCGTGCTCTCACACTGTATGTAAAGGCTGCCTGGAACGCATTATAGCTGCACAGACCCTTGACACAGGGTCCTTCAGATGTCCAATATGCCGAGAGACCATCACCCTGCCCCAGGGTGGTGTTGGGGCGTTTCCAGCCAGCTTCTTGGTCAACCAGCTGCTTGATCTTATGGCTAGCCAGAGACGCTGATGTGTCATCCCAAAATGTTCAGTCCATTCCAACCAGGAGTTACTATTCTGTGAAACGTGTGATATTGTTTTCTGTGTGCGCTGTACAGAGGGAAACCATAATGGCCGGGGTGCAAGTGAACATACTGTGATTCCATTTGCTATCGCTATAAAGAGAATGTCTGAGATACTCCTATACAAGGCGCATCTGTGCATCAAGAACCTGAACAATGCGTATGAGAATGTGTCCCAGGAATTACGGAGATTGGAGCTGTCGGTTGACAAAACTCTAGACCAGATCAATAGGTCATTCCAGGATGTGATGGCCGTTGTTGACAAGCGTCGACACGAGTGCTTGCAGTGGGTCCGCAAGATCCGTGAGGAGAAGAAAAAGATCCTGAATGAGCAGTTGGACCTCATTCAGCAGGAGAAGGAGAAGGTACAGTTGGAGTGTGATGGTCTGCAGTACCAGGTGGAGGTACGCAACATCACCAAGAAGATCGGAGACCTAAACGAGAAACTGGACACGACAAGTACTCTGGCTGAGCCTCGTGAAAACTCCTTTCTGAAATATGAGCACAAGCATAATGAGGCACTCAAGGAAATTTCCAAAGCTGTTGCCACCTTTGGCAGGATTAAAGTCAGCACAACCTTCCCAGCACTATCGTCAGCAAAGTTTAAAGAAGCTACGACACATCTTCGCTCAGGGGTCAAGATCATCACAGTGGATTACCATGGCAACCCCCGAACAGGTGGTAGTGATCCTGTGATAGCAGAAATGCGCACAGACAAAGGTGATCTTGTCGACACCAAGGTGACGGACAATGAGGATGGGACATATGGTATTCAGTTTATACCACCGAAATCTGGTAAACTGAAGCTCTGTGTCAGCATATTTAATCGGCCAATCAAAGATAGTCCATTTTCTATTGATGTCAGTGATCATATAAATCCATTGTGGAAGTTCGGATCTCGTGGCACAGGGAACACAAATCTTGTTCAGCCTGTGAGAATCTCAGCAGATCAGACAGGAACAATATATACTCTGGACACGGGTAACAGTCGGATTTCTGTTCTCAACGCTGAGGGCGAGTTCCTGCGACACATTGGACCAGCAGGTCTGGAGAACCAGAGTGCCACAGGTCTTTGTCTAATGCCAGACACGAACCTTGCCATCATCAACTGGAGAACAAAATGTGTGTCCATCCTTGGCAATGAAGGTGAACTAATTAAAAAGTTCACGGCACAGGAGTTTGTGGAACCAATTGACATTGCCGTCAACAGTAAGAGCAACATCATCGTGGCTGATAGTGGTGCTGGGAAGGTGTTTATATTTGATCCATCCGGCATCCTTCTGACCACCTTCGGCAGTCGTGGTGACCGGGATGGACAGTTCAAGCTGATATCATCGGTAACAGTTGGCAAATGTGATGAAATTCTAGTCACTGATCACAGAATCCAAATTTTCACTAAAGACGGTAAATTTTCCCGCCGATTGTCCGACTCTGGAAAGGGTCAGTATGGAGGCATAACAGTGGATGCTGGTGGTTACATCCTCGCAACCAAGACGGAGAAGGGGAAGAGTCTCATCCATGTGTTGAATTCCAGTGGCAAGCTGCAGTTCTGTATTGACAGCATTGAGGACAAGTTGAAGAGGCCGAGTGGGCTGGCAACACTTCCCGACTTCCATGTCGTTGTTGCCGACTTGGGCAATGACTGCGTCAAGAAGTACAGATACAAATAGGTACCTTATTTCTTTGAAAGGTCACCCGTGAAGATCCGGGTTAGAACTGATCTTCAGTAACCCATGCTTGTTGTAAGAGGCGACTAACGCGATTCAGGTGGTCAGGCCTGCTGACTGGGTTGACACGTCATTGTATCCCAGTTGCATATATCGATGTTCATGCTGTTGATCCCTGGATTGTCTGGACCAGACTCAATTATTTACAGACCGCCATATAGCTGGCATAAAATTCAACTCACTCACTCACTCTTGGAAAGGTCTTTATCCCCAGTACAGGCAATCAGTTCGTATTGCTTGGTTTTACATAATAATCTTAGAAAACAACAGAAGAAAAGATATAGACTACAGTAGCATGTTTACACCCACAGTCTTTTATACCATATAGGTTACTAGCCATCATGTGGGCCTATCATTAAGATATTATAATTTCATATATATCATGGCGACTCGGATGGAGTAAGAAATACCTGTCCAAATATGATTGTGTTGTCTTTAATATATTGGGAGGCAAATCTGAAACTAATAAATACAAATTCGAACTCATTTTTCTGTTGTTAGTAGACTTGTCTTGTGGGTTCAGTAATGATTTAAGGTAATGCAGGTCAGATGATGCCAAAGCAATTTTCGATAATATGTTTTTGGTAACTCAGATGGCCATTGATAGGGAATGCTTTGTGGAAACAAAAGTGTCTGATCAAAGGGAGGTAACCCATCCCTGACTTAACTTGAATATTCATAGATTTGTAAGCTGTTGAAGAATCGTAAAATCCTGAAACCTTCTCAATGCATGGAAATGTGCTTTTTCCACTTTTCATTTAATTGAATGTTCATTTGCTTTTTTTTCCAGATATATGCAGGGTCTCCCGGAGGAGATGAGAACCAAACCAAAGGAAAAACATGTGTTAATATTAAGAAATTTAATATATTTGTGTTATATTGTGCGTATTCTTATTGACGTTTTAGAATGAGGTTTGTGAGTCAGTTATTGTTGGCTTGATTGTGAGATGCTGTATTCACCAGAGACGTCGGGTCGAACTCGGAATCTCAGAAAGCTTGAAATTTCTATATCTGGCTGCAGGAAACATTCTACTACAGGATGTAGGACACATTCTACTACAGGGTGTAGGATACATGCTACCACATGGTGTAGGATACATGCTACCACAGGGTGTAGGATACATGCTACCACAGGCTGTAGGATACATGCTACCACAGGCTGTAGGATACATGCTGTAGGATACATGCTACCACAGGCTGTAGGATACATGCTACCACAGGCTGTAGGATACATGCTATTACAGGCTGTAGGATACATGCTACCACATGCTGTAGGATACATGCTACCACAGGCTGTAGGCTACATGCTACTACATGGTGTATGATACATGCTACCACAGGCTGTAGGATACATGCTATTATAGGGTGTAGGATACATGCTACCACAGGCTGTAGGATACATGCTACTACAGGGTGTATGATACATGCTACCACAGGCTGTAGGATACATGCTACCACAGGCTGTAGGATACATGCTACCACAGGCTGTAGGATACATGCTATTATAGGGTGTAGGATACATGCTACCACAGGCTATAGGATACATGCTACTACAGGGTGTATGATACATGCTACCACAGGCTGTAGGATACATGCTACCACAGGCTGTAGGATACATGCTACTACATGGTGTAGGATACATGCTACCACAGGCTGTAGGATACATGCTACTACATGGTGTAGGATACATGCTACCACAGGGTGTAGGATACATTCTATCACAGGCTGTAGGATACTTTGCTACTACAGGCTGTAGGATACACACTACTACATGCTGTAGGATACATGCCACATGTCTTAGAATATTAGAGGCATGATTAGAATATTTGTTGGATCAGTAACCCACCTTAGCAGTAACACAAGCAACATTGACATTGTATATCCTTGTTTGGCGTAAGGAGACTTTGATACAGTATGTCCTTGTTTGGCTTAAGGAGACTGATACAGTATGTCCTTGTTTGGCTTAAGGAGACTGATACAGTATGTCCTTGTTTGGCTTAAGGAGACTTTGATACAGTATGTCCTTGTTTGGCTTAAGGAGACTGATACAGTATATCCTTGTTTGGCTTAAGGAGACTTTAATACAGTATGTCCTTGTTGGCTTAAGGAGACTTTGATACAGTATGTCCTTGTTGGCTTAAGGAGACTTTGATACAGTATGTCCTTGTTTGGCTTAAAGAACCACTAAACTTTGTTTTTGTTACTCTTTAACCATTACATATGAAAGATTTGTGGTTAGTCTTTGGCGCGAACACCAAATTTATTCTTTAAAAACTTGTGGTTAATTAATACCGGTGCATTAAAAGTGGCCAAAAGTCGCCTGCTTCCCTCTCACTCGCCAACTAAACCACAGACAGGTTACGTGAAACTCTGTCGCCAGAGCACTGCAGTGACGCCATATGAGGAACGATTTTCAGTTAGTTGTATAGAAAAGTGTAGCACGCCATCATTTTGATGATTTCTCGACATCAACTAATTTTACATGCCAATCGCTGCTTTGTCGCCAATTGCTCCTAGGGTCGGGCGATGGTGTCCCCATGCACAGATTTCCACAGGACCCCCGCAGTTCGTAAGCTAAATGGGTTATGTTTGTGGAGTGCGGTTTAGCGCTAGGAAGCCTGAAACGATATCTTACTTGTGTTCAGATCGCTTCACGGAAGTTAAAGAATCAAAACTACTTTACTAGTTGTAGTAAAATATGCATATGATTGATGACCATAAAGATTTTCTATGACACAACTTGTAACATAACGATTTCTTCCTCGAAGTGAGGTTGTGGTCGGTAACAATAATATTGTAAGTAGTATTATATTGACACCCACCTCGCTGCCACAGAGAAATTGTTATGATATACGCTTATGTCATGCAAAAATCCTATTGGCTATCAATAAAATACATATTTTACTACCAGTAGAAAGTAGTTTTGCTTTTTGTAACTCGGGTGAAAACAAACCTAAATACCATTTATCCTCAGACTCATGGATGTTCCCGACAGGCTCGCCATTTTAAAAATAAAAAATCTGTTATAATTAATGAGATTATAGTTTGTTTTCATCAAGTTAGAAAATCAAGACTACTTTCTACTCGTTGTTAAATATGTATTGGAATCATAACCAAACGGATTTTGCATGACACAACTTATAACATAACGATTTCTTCCACGGAAGCGAGGTGGGGGTCGAAGTCACAATACTGCGCCGATAAATGTCTTGCTACTTTCCCATGGTTAATGTCCACTCACCAGTATGTAGATACTAGTCAATGTGCGCCTTTATATTTGGTCTTATTATCCTAATTAGTTTATTATCACACTTGTATGCATTTTGAAACTAAATAAAAAGCAGACGATCTGCTGATACTTATAGTGAATTTATAACAGAACTGTAATATCTAGACATTTTATAGTTTGCCAATGTGAATCATAATTCGCACACACACCCTAGTGCATGTTGTCTGTCTCATTACACTTCACGGCGAAAACAATGATTCTGTTGAATGCTACGACAAATGAATAAAAACAAAATGCAAATATTAAAATTAAAACAGATTAAAGTTACAATTAACAATATCAGGCCATTACCTTGTTCGAGGAATGTATCCATCAATATCCACAAAACTGTTCCAAATGATGTGTCTTTTAACAGTTTAATATACTGAAAAAGTGATAAATCTTTTCAGGTATTGGTGTATAGTCTCATTGGTGTTGCAGGATAGCACACCTGGCAACTAATTGCATAATGTCCGCCTTTCTTTAAAAACAGTAATTTAGTTAGCCAATAATGGGCAATCAATCAATGTATTGCCGGTTAATCCTTTGAAAGAAGGACGTTGTTTTCACGCAGACACCGCACGACAGAGTGTATTCAGTATAGATTAGTAAATCTACATACATAAACACTACCTTTGACAATTCCGCTGTGTAAGATAAAAGTAATTAATCAATCAGCGTGTTATCGGTTAATCCTTTGATCGATGTTTATAATGTTGAATATTTACTCCAGACACAAGAAATGCCAAATGGGAACCTTTGTCGGTAATCTAAGTGTGTTACCACTAATTATACCTGTTATAAATTCATTAACTGACCATCAAGTGAATGATGACAAATAACATGTGTAGGTTTATACCACCTAACACGGGTCACAACGAGGGAGTATTAATTGCTGTATTGCATGTGAAAACTTATGGGCCGACACTGTTTTGAGAATACAAACAGATTTTTACATGACATGATTAAATATCGAGGTAAAACAACACAGAAATGGGATCAATTTGGATCAGTCATTATACAAATAGGGCCCTAACGACACCAATCGATTTTGACAGAATCATCTATGAAAACAAGTTGTAACTCGAAACTAGGCAAAGCAGGAGACAAAAGTAAATGACAGTAGATTGTGAGAACATATAGCTTTCATTTTCCACAACAATTGTCACGATTTCAGGTTTATACAAGCCTGCAAACACGATAATTTACCCCCTAAAATGTAGATGAATTCTGCATCGGCTCTCAAAGCTATTCCTCATATGGCGTCACAGAGGCCTGCGTCTTTGATTGGTTGAAATTCGTTCATGGGGTGAGAATTGTGCACTGTTGTCAAAAAGGTCGATTTAAGTCAATTTAAGGTCGAAATGAGTAGTTTTAATGACGGGGTTTCATTTATAACGATGCCAGTTAGTGATTTATGTATTTGTACCCCTAGGGTTTATGTGACCTTTAAGGAGACTGATGCAGTATGTCCTTGTTGGCTTTAGGAGACTGATACAGTATGTCCTTGTTGGCTTTAGGAGACTGATACAGTATGTCCTTGTTTGGCTTAAGGAGACTTTGATACAGTATGTCCTTGTTTGGCTTAAGGAGACTGATACAGTATGTCCTTGTTTGGCTTAAGGAGACTGATACAGTATGTCCTTGTTGGCTTAAGGAGACTGATACAGTATGTCCTTTGGCTTAAGGAGACTGATATAGTATGTCCTTGTTGGCTTAAGGAGACTGATACAGTATGTCCTTGTTTGGCTCAAGAAGACTTTACATTGATGGCAGAGTAATGGAAAGTGATAGTCATACATGCTTTGTATTGTTATAGAGAGTCCATCTATACATGGCCTACATTGATACCTCCATGATGTTTGACAGTCATTTGCTGTCTTCAGTGTGTTCAAGTTGATGCTGTAAGCTTGTCCACATGATCAGTTAATACGCTATATGTATTCTGTCACCTCTTCATCATTCTAAGGTTGCACACAATTTTTAAAAATGGAATAGTCTTTCAGTCTGTCTATCGTATCTCCTTGTCTGGAGATAATAATTCTTGAAATGGTACTTACTACATACACCTGTACTTGTATAGAAATATTCTTCTTAGAGTGATACCTTCATGTAATCAGTAGATGCATGTATTGTCCTGAATCCTTTATCAACTTGTATTCCCTGACTAACTGGTGAAACAGTCACACATCTGATAAGAGGGGTACCAGTTTGAACATAGTATTTTGAAGAACTGGTAGAGTTTCTGTTTTTTTCAAGGATATATCGTCTTTCTATTATCTCTTCTTTATTTTGACATTTTAGTCTCTCTTACCTCCAACTTGGCTCAGAATTTTACCTGCTCATGTTGATAATTTGATTCCAATGCTTTCATAAATAGAGTGCTATAAGACACTAAGGTAATGGTGATGATGGGGCGTGGTCCGAGCATGGAAGGGAGATGTGATAAACTGGATAGTCGAGTCTGGAGATTGTACACGTGTTGTTTTGTCTTAGATTCAACTCAGATGTTTGGCTGTGTGTTTGTGGCTTGTAACCAGACTGTCAGACCCACGAGGGATGTGCATCCTCTGTGTGTCATGATATCATGGGCACCTGATAGGAGATCTGACACATCATGGACACCTCGTGGGAGATCTGACATATCATGGACACCTGATGTGACATCATGGACAGCTGATGGGAGATCTGACACATCATGGATACCTGATGGGAGATCTGACACATCATGGACACCTGATGGGAGATCGGACACATCATGGACACCTGATGGGAGATCTGACACATCATGGACACCTGATGGGAGATCGGACACATCATGGACAGCTGATGGGAGATCGGACACATCATGGACACCTGATGGGAGATCGGACACATCATGGACACCTGATGGGAGATCTGTCACATCATGGACATCTGATGGGAGATCTGTCACATCATGGACACTTGATGGGATATCTGTCACATCCTGGACATCTGATGAGAGATCGGACACATAAGGTGTCTGGATAATGGGGGCTGCACATCCTCCCTCAGGAACCACAAATGGTGAATAGATTGAGCAGAAGATAATCTCTTGGGTGTTAATCAGATGATGCAAACTAAATACTGGGTAGAATACATAGCGTAAACTTCTTGTTAGTGAAGTCTCCTCCATCCTGCTGGGCTCGTCCGCTCTGCAGATGTCTCTGAGGAACCTTTAAAGATCAAACATTATGCAATTTGGTGTCCAGTTATGTACCTGAAGTGGTCCTTTAGCTTGTCAGTGATTGATGTTAGAGTTTCAATATGAGTGCATAATCCAGGATTTCATTGTGATGCTGGTTTAGGTTGATGCTGTGTGTTTTACTGTAGTATCTTCATATGTCTGCATCCTCACACTGACATTGTGTACATTGGCCCTGTAGACACTACCCATACAGATGTGCACACCGGTTGTCACACATGTAGCAGCAAGCACCTGTTGTCACACATGTAGCAGCAAGCACCGGTTGACATCGATATCAAGCAGCAAGCACCTGTTGTCACACATGTAGCAGCAAGCACCTGTTGTCACACATGTAGCAGCAAGCACCTGTTGACATCGATATCAAGCAGCAAGCACTTGTTGTCACACATGTAGCAGCAAGCACTTGTCACACATGTAGCAGCAAGCACCTGTTGACATCGATATCAAGCAGCAAGCACGTGTTGTCACACATGTAGCAGCAAGCACTTGTCACACATGTAGCAGCAAGCACCTGTTGTCACACATGTAGCAGCTAGTACGTGTTGTCACACGTAGCAGCAAGAACCTGTTGTCACACATGTAGCAGCAAGAACCTGTTGTCAGACACATGTAGCAGCAAGCACCTGTTGATATCATATCAAGCAGCAAGCACTTGTTGTCACACATGTAGCAGCAAGCACCTGTTGTCACACATGTAGCAGCTAGCATGTGTTGTCACACATGTAGCAGCTAGCACCTGTTGTCACACATGTAGCAGCAAGAACCTGTTGTCACACATGTAGCAGCAAGAACCTGTTGTCACACATGTAGCAGCAAGCACCTGTTGACATCGATATCAAGCAGCAAGCATTTGTTGTCACAGATGTAGCTTCACACACATCTCACATATCAGGACTATCTGTATGGGTATTTATTATGGATAGTGCAGGTAGAAAAAAAATCAAAGACTGTTGTCAATTTGGTATGGTTCAATATGATATATGTGTCTAATAGTTCAGACCTATTCAAGATTTATATGAACAAACAGCCCCCAAATAGGAATTTTTACACTCATCCTTATTTTGTAAGTTTTGTTTTGAGTATATACTTAAAACTACTCCTGGAGATATAATTATGGATAACATAATGCACTGGCATATGTTATCAATAATTATGTTTTGGTGCCATCTAGAGACAATAAGACAACCCACGGCTGATCCCATCAGTGTTGAATATTTTCACTGAACGCATCGGTTAACATTTACATTCTATTTGTTCCTATACTTGCTGAGATCAGTATATCTTCGTAAGATAATCTTTTGACATATATCTGCTGTAAACGATTGATCAGTGAAGTTATTCATTTACAGCAGGTTCAGTTTCGTGGGTAAATGTGTGATAGTATATGTCCTATATGATTAGTATAATGTTCGAACATGTCAATCCTGTAAGTACTATAGATGTTGCACAGAGTGTCACTAGAGAAGTAACGACCAGCAATGTCTACTGTTAATTAGTCAGTGACAGCAAGCCTCAGTGAGAGTTACTGGGGTATCACGTGCAATGTTTAACTGTACGCATTCAGTCTGTATGTCAGTCTGCAGATCATGTGACATAATACCCGACCTTCCTGGTATACAAGCTGTGCATACAATCACTGGCTTCACACACAAGCTTCTGGACATAAGCATATATTCTGCTGTATATTGGATATATAGTAATACATTAAGCCTTAGGTGAAAGAAATTCATAAAAGCTGACGATCTGGGAAACAAGACCAAGTCACAGAACTGGCTGACCAAAGATTAGTTCTTAGCAGTTTGTATTCACAAGAATAAACATATGGATCTGATAATCATTTGGTCAGATCTTAGCTGTCTGTGAGTTGGTCTAACATGTTCATTTGTAAGATCACTCAGTGCACTTACAAAATTGACAAGGGGGTACTTTATGATGACTTAGAATATTTATCAGAGACAGGTGGGACTGAACAAGTGATGTGCCTGAAAGACTTTTACATTAATAGTTCCTTGGCAGTCACATGTTCCTTCTGGGCTGCAGTTGTCTGTATTATGTACAACTGGGCTGTCATGTATGTGTGCCATCTAGTAAGGGTGTGCTGATACAGACGACTGACAGGTCTAAAAGGTGGCCAGGAAGTGCTTGTCTAAACTGGGCTCGTCATTCAGTGATTGTGGCATGGAGATTCAGGCCAAGAATTCCCACCAGTATTGGGCTGAAGAATCACTTGTCTTTTACAGTCTGACAAATGTCTTTGTTTTTACTGGCTTCAAGGTTTTAATTCTTTAGATACATGTAGCGAAATGAGTTTTGTTCTCATATTGAGAATTTTCATTGAAATCCATTGTCAAATGTGTGTTATTTACAGCATGTCATCACTGTGTATGTTGATCCACGGTTATGTTCCTTGACATATATCTCCAATCATTTGTATAAAAGCATGTGAACTAGTTGGTCCCATTATATATGAATATGGATGTTAGGTTGTGCAGGGACGCAAGGTAGGTTAGTAGGTGATACTGTCACAGAGGACAGGAAGGGACGACCAGTATGACATACAACCTGGTACACCATTGGTGGTATACTATGCATATGGTTAATGACAATCTTTTAACTGGTGGATCTGTAGACCAGTCTGTTCTGGCACAGGTAGATTGGCAGGGTTGTAAAACAAACAGGGATTCATCTAGGATTCTAAATTGAATGCCAATTCAGAAGTTTACAACAAACATTTTTTATTATTTTTTAAATTTAGAGGTATTTTAACATTGTAATTTTAACTTCAATTAATGCAGTGATGTGAAACGAAGCGCTGAGGCCTTTCCTCCTTGTTAATTGCTACTGGAATACAAGGCACCTCTGATATTAGTAAAGACTGTGGTTCCATGAGTTGGTGACCCTTGCTGACCTTCTGTGACCTCTGAGTTCTAGATAAATCCCTGACCAGTTGGTTGAGTTTACTTGGTGCCAGAACTGTGTATATTAAAACCATTCTTTTGTCTGTTTGGAATATGCAGGTAATGGACATCAAATGACTTGTATTACCGAATATGTTTTCAAATCATTGTTCAGTTGAAATTAAAATGTGAAGACAAGACCACATGTCTAAACTAGTAATCAGTTTTTATTTGAACCCATGTGTTGTTTTGTTCCAATGGTTTAGTGAAAAATTTCCTTTGAAATTGTGTTCCTTGCCGCCAATACCCTACCTGTCTTGCTGACCAGCGCTGTGTTCTTGTAGGTTACAAATTTTTGTATGTTGTATGTTAAATTTAGTTACACAGATCAGATACATGATTTAAGGCAGGTGCTTGATATCTGTCTGTCTAACAAGCCAATTTTATCAACATGTGTATTTGTCCTACTTCCTTCAATTCATATTAGAGCAGAGGGCATTGGATTCAGCATTTAAAACATTAGTCAGCATTTTCTTCATCCAAGATGGAGTGTAATGTAGATCTACAGGGTCATGTTTCATTCAACTCAACTCCTTCAAGTCCAAGAACAATTCAGTCTATGGCTGTAGCCAGTCAGATACTAGTTCGGTTCCCATCCGATAAGAGAACCATGATCAGCTACAGGATCTGCCATGCAGATTTGGATCCGTTAAAATCACCTGGTCATGAGATCTGATGATCCATGGTCCTTCACTAAAATAGCCGTGCTAAACAAATCACCAGTAAATATCTGTGTCCTGTCTTTTGGTAAGGTTTCCTTCTTGTGAAGCTGGGTCCTGATCCACAAAGCGTTCATAATGTTACAACATGTCGTAACTCTATAGTTTATCACAGGCTTATGAATGTCGTAGGGCTACGACCACCTTGTGGATCAGGACTCTGGTTTCTCACATACAACCCACCTGTCACATTGACTTCAAGAAATGTTCATGCTTTACAGTTTCATGTAAATTTAAAAAGATACTCCAGTTTTTAAGAAAATAATTCTTTTCAATTTTTTCTCTTGTGTGAGTTAAAAATAAAATGCTATTCGGCAGGAATATTTCACTTATACATGAATTGTGTACCAAGAGTATATTATAATCCTACCTTGCCATCACGTTTATAGCAATACTTAGTGATGCTAGAAAATTGAGAAACAAAATGTGATACAGTAGAGTTTCAAGTTTTTATTCAGTTTGACTCTTCTCATCCTTGATTTGCAGGTCAAATTAAGTGCCATAGATTTCATTGCGTGTTCAGGAATTGACTCCTTCCTGTTTGGTGAAGTCCTGCTGTAACTTGACCATTACATATCACCTGTAGAAAGCAATGTCCACTTTCCTTCGCATATTTGAATATTTGTCATTTGTACATTGTCTTTGAGATTATCCCATGTACAGTAAAACCCTGTTTATTTATACAGTTCCTGACCCAGTAAAACCCTGTTTATTTATACAGTTCCTGATCCAGTGAAATTGTGTAAATGTCCAGATAACAAGATGATACAGGAACAGTGGGTGTTATGTCAGTACATCCAGGCTCTGCCGACTGACAGGGTTTTGCTGTATTTTTGTGTATAATTTGTTTAGTTGTAGATGTGTTTCTTGTTAAAACAGAAGTAGGCATATTGTGTGTAAAGATTTGTCTTTTCCTCACTACATCATGCCTAGCAGTGCTGACTCTTATGACCTCTGTACACAGAGTTACTGCTCTTGGCTACACAGAGTTACTGCTCTTGGCTGTACAGAGTTACTGCCCTTGGCTGTACAGAGTAACTGCCCTTGGCTGTACAGAGTAACTGCCCTTGGCCTTGTCAGGATTTTTTATGTTCTTTTTTAGTATGATCCCTAGGCTCTCAGCACAACCGACATTCCCTTGGGTATTGTCATCTGTATGTGTCAGATTTTCCACACTGAATTAAGAATATATGATGAAGTATTTAGATAAAGTGTTTACAAGGCATTTTAAGGTGATAAAGATGAATTTTCTTATAGATAATAACTTCCTAATTTTTTTGTATTAGTGTTATAGTGCTACTTCCCTTTATGAATGGATTATAGGAAAAACCCTTTTGATATGATAATCTATCATAAGAATATTTTAAATGCGTAAAAAGATAAATACTGACACACAATGTGACTCTTCTGTTTGGAAAGTGTTTTAATCAACTGAATGATGCAAAATTGTTTATATTTATCTGCATATATCTTTTGTGATGTAGATGATGCATGTGTTGTGTACATGTTTAATATACCAGATGTTTTAATATAGCCACTGTCAGCAACCTTCCACAAGTGCTAGCTGGGGGTATACTTGTCATAATCTGCACCAGGTAGAGTGTGAAATCTGCACAGGATTTAATGTTTTCCAAGGAGGATTGTTCCACCTGTTAGCCTATTTGATAGGCACATTGGTGATTTTTTGTTGCTTTTATTATCAAGTATCTTACACATGGACACCTTTTAATCCTTTCCCAAATAAGAACCAATTTGCTTGGTGACATTCGTACCTTTGATTATTGTAGACAGAAGCAGGAGAC